GCTGGGTTTCTTCATGTTTGAAAATAAAGGCTGAGGGGTAACCTTACAGAGGTGTCTAAAATTATGAAAGGGTTTGGTACTGTGGATACAAAATGAATACTACTTCTTGTGAGGATGAGAATAACTAGAGGTAATCAATATAAGATAGCAAACAAGAAATTCAATTGAGAATTCAGAAGAAGCTTTTTCACACAGAGTGATCGAGTGGTGGAAAAAGCTTCCTCTGAAAAAGCTATCACGGAGTGGCTGAAGTGTACGCTATAGATGTATTTACAGAAAACAAGATAAATAAATGAGGGAGAAGGGAATAGGTCACTACAATTGTAGATTGGATCAAGGAATGGGAAACACGGGAAGCCACTATGCTCCTTGTGACCAATTCCATTTGTCGAATGACATGCTTGGAAATAACCACAGCCAGAGTGCTCCTTGCTAAACGGGTTCAAGAGAAGCTGGGGCCCTGCACCTCAAACATCTACTGCTGGGGCCTCAGTACAAACCCCAATGTACTTGTGGAGAGACACAAACAATGCAGCACATTACCAAGGAGTGCTCCTCTACAAACTCAGTGGGCTGATCACCCTCAACTCTGAAAACAGGGAGACTGTCACTTGGCTCCAGGGATTTGCACTCACTGAATAAAAATCATACATTCAAATGGAAAAAAGATGGAAGGAGACTTGAATGAGGCATAAACACTGAGATGGAATGAATAGTCTGTTTATGTGCCGTAAACTCAAATTAATCTTGCGTGCAATTAAAACTGGAGATGAGCATGAGGTGTGCATCAAAGGAAAAGAGACAGATCAGAAGGTTGTAGGGCTAAAGGATGGGTTTGAGTGCTGTAGGGGATACAGAGGTAGAGACTGAACAAAGTTTTGTGAGGGATGTGAAAACAGGATGGTAATTTGAACAAAGAGTTGCACAGCTGGGACCTAACACAGGTCAGTAAACACAGGAGTGAAGGATAAATGGGATTTGGTAGGAGTTAGGACATAGACACAGTTTCAAATTCTCACATTTTTGGTGTGAGAGAGTGAGGAGGATGGCCTAAAAATGGTCAAGCTACAAGTATTCAAAGAGACGGATCAGGGTCTCAACAACAAGTGAACTGAAGGTGAGGAACATTGATTCCTAGAGATCAGAATATTAGAGGTAGAAATAGACTTAGTGATGGTAAAAATGTACAATTGGGACTCATCTATGGAATTACAGTGCCTGAGTTACAAACGACTCGGTTCAACTTCAGACAGTGCCAGGGAGACAGATGGTGTCAGCAGCTAGGAACTGAAGTTTGTGGCACAAATCAATAGCAATGGCAATAGCTTTTACCTTTCCGTTTTTCATAAATGGAAGTTTCTGTTTCTCTAGTATTGGATGTAAGATGTGTAGTCTAATAGAGAGACAGAGGAGAGATTGAGAGGTGCTGACGGGGTAGAGCTTGTTGCAAATGTAGATGTGGAAATGGATTGATTTAGCTGTGCAACACTGGAGAGATATTGTAGGAGGATGGTGGTCAACAGAACCAAAGGCAAGAATGACAATGAGGACAACTTATCGTCATCAGTCATATGCTACATAGTTTGTGACCGTACCGATGAAAACCATTTCATTATTGCAACATCATAGAAAAAAGGAAAAGAGCTATGTCAATCCTGTCTGCTCCCTTATTGGAAATACAAGACTAGATTCTTGCCTTATACCACCACTAAATTGCAAAACTTCACTTCCTGCACAATTTGAGCATCACACAAGCATTTAATCATCCGAGTATCCTACATGGCAGCCCTTTTATCCATTTCTGCAGGAATTAACACCATGAAAAATTGCCTTTTCAGGTCATTTCTATCTTATGGAATCACTGAATCCCTACATGACAGGTAGAGGTCACTTAGCCCAATGAGTCTGCACCACCCCTCCAATGAGCATCCCATCCAGACCCACACTCCCAATCCATCCCCGTAATTTCACATTTATCCACCTGGCCTACACATCCCTGGTCTCTACCGGGCAATTTAGAATGACCGATCAACCTCACCTGCACATCTTTATGGGATAACTGTGGGAGGAAACCAGAGCACCTGGAAGAAATCTGAGGAAGGGTCACCAGACTCAAAAGATTAACTTTGATTTTTCTTCACAGATGCTGCCAGACCTGCTGAGCTTTTCCAGCAACTTCTGTTTTTGTTCCTGATTTACAGCATCCGTAGTTCTTTTGATTTTTATTTCTTAGGCACTGTGAGGCAGCAGTGCTAACCACTCTGCCACTGTGCTGCTCATATCTTTCTTACCCATTAGTTAACATTAGCATCAATGGTACAGATTTTAGCTTGACTGTAAACTTTTCTGCTAATGTTGTACTACGATTAAAACAGGCTGTAGAGGAGCCTTGCAGCGAATTCCCAAAATTCAGTTGTTTAGGGCCACCTAAAAAGATCAGAGCCCATTGGAGTGATATATTGGCATTGGTAGAAAACTGGCTAGCTAATAGAAAACAGAGAACCAGGATAAATGAATCATTTTCAGTTAATAAACTATGACTAATGGAGTACCTCGGGATAAATGCTGGAGCTGAACTATTTGCATTCTATATAAGCGGATGAAGGGGCCAACTATATTATAGTCAAATTTGCTGATCATCAAAGGTGGATAGTAGAGAGCCGCAAGAGGATATAAATATCTGCAAACGGGTATAGATGAATGACAAAAAATTTGCAGATGCAGAATGACATGGGAAAATGTGAAATGTTCTACTTTAGCAGTAAGCATAGAAAAGTAGAATTGCTTAAGCAGAGAGAAAACAGCAGAATCTTGCAGTTCAGAGAATCGGAGTGTACATTAATCTCAATATTAGCATGTACATACAGCTAGTATTTAGGGAGGTAATTGATTGTTTCCTTTATTATAAAGGAATGTGGAATATAAAAACAGGGAAATCTTGTTTCATTCAGCACACCGGTGAGACCGCACCTGCATTATTGTAGTTTGCCTTCCTTATTTAAGGATTTGGCTGTATTGGAAGCAGTTACAAGGAGGCTGATTCCTGGTTTGAAGGGTTTGTCTCGTGTAGGAGTTGAGCATTTGGGATGTATACTGGTTGAAGAATAGAAGGACAGATGATCTTATTGAAATGGCTTGAAGGCATAACTGCTGAAAGGATGCTCCTTCTCATGGGGGAAATCTAGAATTAGGTGGTGAAAATAAATGTTCAAAACTAAGCAGTTTTCTAGTTAAGACGGATGAGAAGGAATTTCTTCACTCAAAGGGTCATTAAATTTTTGGAATTCTCTTCCCTAGAAAGGAATAGAGGCTATTTAAGGTGGAATTAGGCAGATTTTTGATTGACAATGGAGTCAAGGGTTATAAGAAACAGGCAGGCAACTGCAGAAAAACCTAATTAAGGTCAGTTCAATAGGCCAAACGGTCTACTCCTGCTGAAATTTCTTATGATCTTACGTCCTTACAAGCGAGGCGATCGAAGATAAAAAAAAAAGACAAATATAAAAACTAATACAATTTATTTCACCTAAATTTAAGAAAAATAAAACAAAACTAAAATAAAAGCATAATTGTGGGTGCAAATATGCAGAGAAAAAAATAGAACAACTCTTTTTACATCTGAACTAGCACTCATTTATTTAGTACATTACGGTTAATATACACGAAAAAGAACTTTCTACTGATTGAATATAACTTTTATCCTTGCTGTTGCATAAAAGCTGAAAACTCACCGAACAAATTGGCCCTAAAAAAGTCATAAATTCCTAACTTGAATTTTAAAAGCCTCTAAATGAAAACAGAAGGCAATGCTTAACCCAATGTTTCATGACCATGAATAAAAACATCAGCCAATTTTGATTAAAGTACAGAAGGCCCCAGGCTGCCAACAACCATAACCCAGCAATTTAAAAGTTAACCATTCAAAGGACAGACTAAGCAGTTCGACTTAATAAATCAACATTTTTTTCTCCTTAATATAAATACAAAGAACTACAGGCACTGGAGAAACTCAGTGGGTTTGGCAACACCTGTGGAACAAAAACAGAGTTAGCATTTTGAGTCCAAAACTGAGTGGGGAGTGGTTTTTCCCTCCACTGATGCTACCAGACCTGCTGAGTTTCTCCAACATTCTGTTCTTGTTTCTTTGTGTCTTTTGTAATTTTATTGGCTAATTAACTTCCTGCTCTCCTGAAGTGTTACCGACTTGCTGAGGTACAGATCCACAAGGTCTTGCAAAACTTGGCTCCCTAATAAAGCATGTGTGAGCTATTTGACTACAGGTAGTTATACATACCCTTAGTCTTTCCAATGGAGTTTGTTCAATAGACCAGTGATATGAGCACATCTTTTCCCCGGTACAAGACCACCAAGGCCTATGATGACAGTTATTCTTACTGAAATCAACAAACCTAGCAGTGCACAGTTCCAATAAGAGTGATAAAACCAAACAGATTCCTCGTCTGTAGTAGTGTCAAGCAATAGAGAAATTTCAACAAGGCAGCATTCACAATTCTTTTCTCCCAACTTTACAGCATGTTAATGAAGTTGAACAAAAAAAAACTTATCAAGAGTTTAACAAACGAAATTGAAACTGTCCAGAATTTTGCTCCTTATGAGGTAGAGTTTAACACAGAGGCTCCAACTATCATAAATATACGTAAACTGAGTGTCCAAGACATTAATTTGAAATAAAAAACATTCATAGTCAGGTTAATAATACCGTAACTCTAAGAAATTTAGAAACATCCCCAAAGACTAAGAAAACCCTTTATCCGACAAAGCATTACTATTGAGAAACTTTGAAGAGCGTAGCAGATCAGATTAGCTATAACATTACAAACAGGGAGTACGTCATTGATAAAACCAACTTCCCGTCCTTATTGCTGTTATTGCCCAAGGCTGCTAGATCTCAGGCACTGAACTTCGGGATGACAGATACAGAGATATAAAGGGTTTGAAACCTCCGAGACCCATCCGTCTGAGGAGGCTTCCAAGCTCACCTGTCCCAATGCCCTCTAACACCATCAGCTCCTCCCAAACACCCAAACCGCTTCTTCTTGCCCGTAACTCGCTTCACTTGCCATCTTTTCTCCCCCTTACCCCCACAGGTCCGAAGTTTTCAGGCTGTCAGCACCCTTCCCATACCGACAATACCGCCACACAAACAGACTCCTCCAATAACCCAGAGCACACCGCGAGAACAACTTTCCTCCTCCCATGGACTCTGCCAGTATCCCAGCGCACACCGCGAGAACCCCTTCCCGGTGAGCGGCCTCCACCTAGCGGTAGACTGCAGTATCTAGACATTTGCTCAGCTCCTATTTCACACCCACCTGTCCGTGTCACTGTTCTCAGAGTTTGAAATAATCCATCTTTACTTTCAAAACACTGGCGCTTCATCTAGTTCAGATGTGACCTTTATGCACCTTCTTGGAGAAGTTTTATTCTACATCATTTTCGGTGTGATTAGACTGAATCCAACTAGCACCGCACCATCTTCCACCAGGATGCCTTCTGTGACAGACCAATGTTGCTCTTGTGGTTAGTTGTGATTGCTATGTTTTATCAGGCCACCCCTAGATCAGTTGTAGCAGGACTATTCGTAACTGCACGTCTTTTTGCTACTGTCACCTCCCATTTGACACAGTTTTGGTGATGTTCTTTAAACCTAGATTTTGTATCTCTTGTAACCATAACTGAACTATGACATCTGCCAGCCCCACTTTTGTTTCTCACTTGTATCTCAGAGTGCAATTATAACTGCACAGCCTTGAAAGTTACCATTCAATCTTGAAGGAGCAAATTACTGCAGATGTGGAATCTGTACTGATAACAAAAAAAATGCTGGAGATCACAGTGGGTCAGGCAGCGTCCATGGAGAGAAAGCAAGCTAATATTTTGAGTCTAGACGACTCTTCATCGAAGCTGAAATGAAATGTGGAGGGGATAACATTTATGCAGTAGTGGGAGGTTTGGGGCTTTGGAGTGCTGGGGAGAAAGAATGTTGATAATTCAATAACCATTGAGTCTTTTGGGTGTTCCACACATTTTTTGTATATTTGCTTAGTGTGCAATGATCCCATAGCAATTTATGCACTCATATCCATACACAACTGCTAAAAGTTCTGTTTCTATGTTAGCATTTCTGGTCTCAGCTGATGTCAAAGTTTTGAATGTGAATGCTAGCGATCTTCCCTATTGTACTAAGGCTGCTCCTAGTCCTTCTGTGGAAGTACCAATTGCAAAGCAACAGATTTCTTTCTATTGTAGTACAACAGGCTTGTCCCCTGTCCTACGATTTTGAGTTTGTTGAATTTCCTCTGATGTGACACTGAGCACCAGTACTCAACATCTTTTGTCATCAGCTCTCATAGATGTGCTGTGCTTTCTGACATAATGATATGAAGAATATTCAAGGCTGAGATGGGCAGATTTTTAATCAATATGGCAATCAAGACTTAATAGGGATCAGGCAGGAAAGTGTAGTTGAGGATTATCAGATCAGCCATGATTTCAGTGAATGGCAGAACAACTTCGATGGGCCAATTTACCTACTTCTGGCTCTTACATCTTATTGTCTTACGGTGAGGTGTGAAAGGACACGTGTAGGTTCACACCAAGGAAACTTGTCAATTCTTTCATGTCTCTTGGAACTTCCAGCTGCAAGATAACTGATCTTTTCAGAACTCCACCGTTTGTGTACTGCATACTGAAGAGCAAGCGTTCTGTCACATTTGCAACGCATTTCTCTCTGTTTAGCTTTATCTGAGTACTGCTGGTTCTCTCCATGGCTTCATGTATATAGTGATCATGATTTTTGCATCAACACCATATTTCTGGATATGATCAGCAACGCTAAGTGCTCTTTTACATTCTCTGTTTGTCTCACCTATTTTCTGTTAACATTCTGGCTGACAATAAGGGGAAGAGGTAGATGCAGGAAGTTTCATTAGCTGCAACTTATTCGGTTGGCTTTTGAATATTTTCATTCATCACAATGGAATTTACCAAATCTATGGGCTCTGTGAGCCTAGCAATCAATTTCTCACTTCTGATCAGAGGGCACTTTTCAGTGGGTATACTACCTTCAATCTCACTGTCATTTATTCACTTCATGATTTACTGAGATAAGCTGCAACTCTTCACAACTGCTCAACTCCAGGATTCCCCTGATTGGGGATGTTCTGAGCTGTAGAATCTCAGTTCCCTCTATGACATTAGCATGACATTGGTCAGTTTCAGAGCATCTCTCGTTGGGCAAATAGTTTCTATCAAAGTTCCTGGAACAATCTTCTGGTTTGGTCTTAGCAGAATGCTGTTACTCTGTAATCTGGTATAGAGCTTCTGCTTTATATATATGGTTGTGGGCTTATTTCTCACCCTCTTTCTGATGGGAATGGTTATATGATTTTATATTTCCTTGGAAAATGTCACATTTCATTCTTGCGTTTATATTATTTGGTTGCATTTTTCAATCTTGTTAAGAAATTGTGAACAGGCTCACTTGCTTCTTGCTCTGAAATCCCTGTTGATCATAGAATCATAGAATCCCTACAGTGTGGAAGCAGGCCATTCAGCCCATTGAGTCCACACCGTTCCTCTGAAGAGCATCCCACCCAGACCCACCCCTCCACCCTATCCCTGTTACACTGCAGTTTCCATGGTTAACCCACCTAGCCTGCACATCCCTGGACACTGTGGGCAATTTAGCATGGCCAGTCCATCTAACCTGCACATCTTTGGACTGTGGGAGGAAACCAGAGCACCTGGAGGAAACCCACGCAGACACAGGGAGAATATGCAAACTCCAAACAGATAGACGCAGGAGGGTGGAATCAAACCTGGGTCCCTGGCCTTGTGAGGCAGGAGTGCTAACCATTGAGGCAGCGTGCAGCCCTAAATCCAATGAGTTGACTTTGGCTGGGGATATATGCCAAATACGACAAGGATTTTGTCTGTATTTTCAGTGTCGTCCTCACTCGGCTATCAGTTATTTTGCAAGTTTAACACCACTTTTGTCCACAAAAACTGACCCTTTCCATTTTGTTCAAGGTAACGATTGCCAGTTTCCACTTTTGTCTGGACTTTTCAAATGTTCCGACAACGTCTTCAGCTTTCCAATTCATCATGAACTGTAGTTGTGCGTTCATTGTTGTAGTGGTTGCCATTTCACTTTCACACAAATCACTCAGCAGTTTATCTCTTTGCCTGGCATGATCTAAGATTGTTTGCAGATTGGAGAGTGGCGACGTAGGGTAGCGGATGACTAGTGGGCAAGGGGGTTTGGTGGCAGGTGTGGGTGAGGAGTAGGCTGGCATGGATTGGGGTAGTGAAGTAATGGAGAGGGATGTTGGGTCAGGTTGGATGTGCCAGGTCAGGCAGTTGTGGAGTCAGGTTAGATTGAGGTGTCTGTCTGGTCAGGAAGTATTTCATCAGGAGAGGGAAAGTTTGCTGGGGTTCATCAGGGAGGACTGATATCAGCTATCAGGTCAGAAGTTTCAAGTCGAAGGGGCTGTGAGGTCAGGAGTTCATCAGGGGAATGTGGGTAAGAATGGGCCAGGGTGTCAGGTTGGGGAAACTCGTGTGAACAGTTCAGTGTTTAGCACTGCTACATCGCAGTGCCAGGGATCCCAGTTCAATCCCCCCTTCAGGCGACTGTCTATGTGGAGTTAGCAATTCTCCCATATCTGCATGGGTTTCCTCTGGTTTCCTCCCATAGTCTAAAGATGTGCAGTTTAGGTGGATTGGCCATGCTAACTTGCCGATGGTGTCCAGGGATGTGCAAGTTATGAATGGGAAATGCAGGGTTACAGGGATGGGGTGGGTCTTGATGAGATGTTCTTTGGAGGGTCAGTGTGGATTTGATGGGCTGAATGACCTGCTTCCACACTGTAGGGATTGTATGATTTTATGAAATATCGGTTTGGGGAGACATTGGAATGGGATGGTATTGGTTAGTGGTTTCCTGGAATGAGGTTGGGGAATGGATTAGGAATATTGGGTCATGAGGGGGTAAAATCAGAATGTACGGTGGGGTTTGGGTTGAATGGATATGGTTTGGCTTCAGGGAGAGTTGGGAGATCAGTGGATTGTTGGCGGAGGAGGGGTCCTGGTGTGTAAGTTTTACAGTTACCCAGGAGTTATGGCAGGTCTAAATTCCTCTAATCTTTCCTAAATTACTATCCAGGTAAATAAATTGGAACAGTGAAGTCTCCAACCATAACCATAACTCAGAATTAGGGTCTCTTTCAGGTGGTTGGGGAAGGAGTTGGTGGTGGCAGCATTCAAGGTAATTACCCATGAGGGATTTTAACATTTTAGCAACAGTTGAATGTAGTCTTACTGTCACCATCACTGCTGACCAGCGTTGTATTCCAATTTAAATTCCATCAGCTGCTGTGCTGGGATTTGTACCTGTGTCCCTTCAGCATTAGCCCTGGGCTTTGCACCTATGAGCCTTCAGAATTCGCCCTGGCCTCTGGATTGCTAGTGCAGTGACAATATCACCCTGCCACCATCTTCCCAAAGAGTACTTGTAAGTTGTTTCTTTACTAAGTCACTTAGTATTTTCAGTAGGAATTTTAAATGAAATCATTTGGTATAGGATAGCTCACAACACTAAGTGCTGCAATAGCTTACTCAACTTTGAAACAGACATTTGCCAGTAATGTTAAGTAATGGCATATGATTTGCACAATGCATATACTGGCAGCAGTACGAGCTAAGACAGCTGGTTCTCACGTCACTGTGCTCATTCAGGTGTTAAAATAGGTAATGGAAAAGTCTTCTCCATTGTTTATCGACAACCCAATTATCCTGTGTTGCTTTATTATAGGGAAATCCAGTGGCATCATCAGCAACATTAGTCATGCCTTTCCACCGTCTACAAGGCACAAGTCAGGAGTGTGATAGAGTACTCCCACTTGCTAGAATGATTGCAGCCCCAACAACACTCAAGAGGCTTGACACCATCCATGACAAAGCAACCCACATCATTGGCATTACATCCACAAACATCCACTCCCTCCACCACTGACGTTCAGTAGGAGGAGCGTGTACTATCTACAAGATGCACTGCAGAAATTAACCAAAGATCCTCAGACAGCACCTTCCAAACCCACAACCACTTCTTTCTAGAAGGACAAAGACAGCAGATACAGGGGAACACCACCACCTTCAAGCTCCCCTCCAAGCGACTCACCATCCTGACTTGGAAATATATCACCGTTCCTTCACTGGTCAAAATCCTGGAATTCCCTCCCGAATTGC